GGCCAATGACAGGACTGTAGAAAGATGTCTGGATGCATGCTATTTGTGATGACAAACCAATACTCCTAATGCATCTCACACAGAAGACTCAAAAGCAAGTATTTAATATTTCTACCCCTTTAAACATTCATTAAATTTTTCATAAAGTTTTAAACAGATGTAAAAACCTGTCCCCATTACTGCTTGTTGATAGCTCCTGTGTGAATCCGCTAAATTTTGCAAACCTTCCACTATTACAAAGCATTTGAATACCAAATTTCAATCAATCATTCTGATAGCTGCCAAACCTCAAAAACATACCCCAGCTTCACAGTAAAACGATTCATCCTCATTTGCTGGTTTACTTATAGCCTCCTCTGACACGAGTATTCTCAATTATCATTTTACTTGCCCCCAGATCAAACATTTTCCAGGAGATACTCTTTAATTTATATACTGCTCCTGAATGCCTTCCATAAAGTGGAATCGAAATTTGGCAGAATAAAAGCAGGTACCATCACCAAGAATATCTTCCTACCAAAACTTCCAAAAGAATCCGTGACATTGAGTTATCTAAATTCTTTTAACCTTCAAAATCTACATTTAAAATGTGACTCAGAATTTACCTTTTGACTAGATGCTTTTTGAGGTCAGAGATTAAACTTCAAGTTTTTTGCATTCCATTCTTTCTGCTGCTCTGTCTTCTCAATTCTTTGTGTCATAATATCTTGCTAAGCAAGATTATACTGTTCAAACTAAGCTTAAACTGAACTCAGACTTCCTTAAGCAACTTAATAGAAGCTAGTGCTCCTAATAAAAGTGCTTGAGATAAAACACTAAAGATAATCTTTGTCCTTCAAATGATAAGCAATGATACTATAAAAATGTTTTAAAACAACAGTGAACCTCAATTACAGAATGCAGAATATCAAAAGGAATAAAAAGAAACTTAAAAGAATTTTTTATGAAAGATATGCTCAAGAACCAGCCAAAGGGAAAAAACACAACTATTTGTAAGGCTGAGATCATGTTAGTTTACTAGTAACTAGTTCCAACTGTTCTTCAAAATCAACAGAACATGATTTAGATTCTGGAAAGAATTTTAAAAAAAAGTTTATCCATCTAAATAAGAAAACCCACACTCAAGTCTTTCTATTCACTTGCCATTATCAAGGTGCTGTTGATAATGGCAGCCGAAGAAAAGTAACATCATACTCTTAATTGATGACAGCACAACAAAGAACAAAATCAACATGCTGCTAATGCACACTGCCATTTAAATAGTGTTTATGTGTAAATATTGTGCTGTGGAGAGAAAAGGACAAACTATCCATGAAAACATTTACATATAAGAAAAATACTTATGAAATACATATATCTATGTTCACCTAACAGATATGCTATGCTTTGAAACTGAAATCTAAATAAAATCCGCTACGTTTTACAGTTTTCAACTATGGATTTTTTTCTCTGTTTTAAAGCAGGATAACATATATCACTGGCTGAAATCAACAAAACTAAGCAACGTTTATGTAGGAATTCACCTTTATTATGTCACATTCTGCAATGTGCAGCACTTTTAACAAATACACTATTCAGCATATTTTCAGCTAAAATATCTGAAGGCCAATTTTCAAAATAAAATGCCACTTTTAAAAACAAGGGGTTTTTAAAAGCAAAATAACATGTGAAAATAGTTTATAGTAAAAAACATGACTTAAATTCACAACTTACTTAGGAGTTGAAGGACCTCTTGGCCATGTTCCATCCTCATTCTTCTGTTCTATCACCAGTACCTACCATAAAAAGTATAATAGGAAAAATGAAATAAAAATATCAGTAGATTGCTTTCTGTTCAACTTTTTAAATGGATCTGCTGACATGTGATTGAGACAGAAGAGACTGATGTTTAAGTTACTATTCCCTGAGGTTCAAGAATATTCCATTCAATTACACTGTACCTTCCTCTTGCTCTCTTCACTTTTTTCTCCCCACATCTTAATTCGTGCAACTTTGGGCAAGCCACTTAATATTTCTAAGCCTCAACAATCCATGGATAAAATAGTAAGACCTTACCTCTCAAAGAGGTCAGAAGATGACCTGCAATGTCTAAACAGCATCTATGAATCTATAGAAGTTACATGTTTATACAACGGCCCTATTAAGGAAGGGATATTCCCAAAGTAATTTTGCCTCACACACAACACAGATCAGTAGGAAAAAAATCCCAGACCCAGTTAATCTAATACCAATTTTCCAATGGGTCAGTTGGCTAACGAAATTAATTTCATTCAAGTTGTTATTGGTACAAAAGGGAGTACAGAACACTCAGTCCTAAACACAGGCATCAAGTGCTATTTGAAACGCTTGTGGGTATTTGAGATATCTGCCCTATGCTGGCAGATATGACACAGGACCTACTAAAAGCTCATGCCTTTCCGGACTGACAGCCGGGATAGCCAGATCATTTGAAATGGCAACTAGACTCCAATATTTAAACTGAATCTAACTCAATTTCCAATGCAACTAATGCTACATAACTGTACACTGATGTTTCAGGATGCTAATTAACTGCCTTGCTATGCTCGTGTGTGTCCCCACAGTGACATACATTCACATATGTATTTATGCCCTAAACCTTATACATAAATCATGCTGCTTGAAGATGTAATCATATTTTCAGTCTGAATACACTAAGGCGTGACATTGAAAACTAGCTTTGTATCATGACCAGCTTTTTATATGGAAAAGAGTAGTCTGCTATCTTTGGTCGTGAATGCTGCAAGACACATTCTGCCATATTTCCTTCCATGGGCTCTCAGAGACTACTAAATAAAAGGAAGATTAGATTTCAATGGAACCTCTAAAGGCTCACTTCAGAAACCAACTCATAAATTCAAAACATTACTCAATCACATATATAGTTTAGAATTACACCATAAAAAATAACTATTAGGTTAGACAGACTGTAATAGTCAGAATAACTATTATTAGATTAGGAGGCTCAGCAAGAAAAACAACCTTATATGTCAGCAAGTGCAAATGACCAAACACACATGGCCTACCAAAACATTTAGCATTTTCAGAAACCATGGTTAACCTCAGTTTTGAACAATATTTGTTTTGCTGAAAGTACAGATGTCACCTAGACATCTTTTTATGGCTATATTAGACCATGCTTGCTTCATAGTTAATGTTTCACTGGGATAGAGGCAATTTGCAAGTTACATCTTTGATGCTAATCTTTTATGGGAGATGTGGGCTCTTCCAGCAGGATGTCTGCATTTTTAAAATTACCTGTGTGAGGGTTTAAGTGCGTGCAGCAAAAAGCTAAAGGGTACAGTAGTTCAAGTTGTTATTTTGGTGCACTGAAGCCATAAAAGAAAACTGAAGTACAGCATAAATACTGCTGGTAAGTAGGTTAGAGTCAAATATTTCAAGGTAAAAGGAAATACTTGAATATAATCTCGCCTACAATTACTGCCATCAAATCTCATCCATTCATATCTGTAGCACGACAGCATGAACTACAGCTGTTGAAAAAATATCCAACTATTTAGAGACTAAAGAATCAATATAATATTCTGAAGAGTTATTCTAATGATGAAATTGTTCAATCAGTTCACATTTACATTTGTGTAGCTTAACATTCAGTATTAGTTCTTTATATTCATCTGGAAAGATAAAAAATTATCTTGTAAAAATCCTCCCATAAAGGCGTTTTAAAGTGATGATACAGTCTCATGCTAAAGCAGGTTTTCAAGCTCTTTTGTCTCTGTAGTTCTTATCTGAAATCTTTTAATTTTTTCTTAATTTCTTTCTGAAATCTGGACAGTGGAATTTGAGTAGAAGACATTATTCTTTTAAAATACCTAAAAAGTTCTTGAAATTTTGGGTTTCATTATAGGAACATATTCCAGATCCTAGGAATTTATTTTATTTCAGGTTTTACCAAATTGAAGTCAGCAATGTTATGTTCATTTACTTTTAATTAACCAGGAAAGTTAAAGTTAAATTCATCTTTAATCCTGAAAACACACTCAAAGGCTACTTTTATTTTGATTAATTTGTTTATAAAATCCTCTATCCCTAACACAATCTGTTAGGAGGCAATTTTCCTTTAAAAAGAAGGAAAATCCATTGATTGCAGCTACATTTTCATGAGCAAAAAGTAAATATATTAAAAAAAGAAATTATATTACACTTTACCTGTCCCTGGTATAAACCAGCATCCTGTATGGTACTGTCTGGTTTATTCAAAGGTTCAAAAGTATTACTCATGTATTTGTTCCACAATCTAGTCTCTTTTTCACTTGGAATATTGAAGATCTTTCTTATCTCTTTTTCAATTGTATCTGTGTGGAAAGGGAGAGAACACAAGTTTAGCATTTCACTACACAAACTGTATAAGGCAGAATAAAGCATCAAAATCAACTACTCTCCTCTTATATTCAAAATATCAATGAAACTGTAGAAATAACCATGCAACTACATCATGTTGTAGGACAAGCAGGAAGTTGCTAGTTCGTTTGCCTTTAAAATGGAAACAGTCAGAAGACTATTTTATTCCCTCCTGAATCTCTTAGCAAAACAGACCAAATAAAGACAAGTTGATAAATAAGAAATGACAGGAGGTACGTAGGTACCCATCTACTAATTTCTCAGAGTGTAGTAACACAGGAGTATGGGCGGGTAGGGAATGATTAGAAATGGGACTGGCAGCAAAACCACGTGCAGGCAGTGCAAGTCATTCTATTCCGCTCCCTATATCAATCCCTTTTTGGTTTTCACTCCTCTACTACCCATATCCCTGTGCAATTAACACAAACCACAACATACACGCATCAGGTTTAATTTACAGGCTCACAGAAATTAAAGACTACTCTGAACTGAAGCGCATAAATTTATTTTAAAAGGATGATGAAAGATTTTACATCCTTGAAAGATTTAACATAAAAAGGTCTACCAGGTCTTATTCTACCTGAAAGAAATATAATCAGTGTTACATAATTTCAAGGTAGTATAATTATTGTCTACAGCTGAAATTTAAGAAGTTCATCACTAACTCCATTCTCCTTATGTAAAAGTAGCATTTATTAAAGAGCTCTTTAATTTGAATATGTACAGTGCCATACAGTAGCAACCTCACTTAGATGTTTTGTTTAACTGGTACACTCATAAAGCCCCACGGCAGCCAAGTCCCTGTTTCATAACAGAGAAAACAAAACAGGAGTCAAGAAACGTACAGTTTATTCCTGATGACCACTGAAAACACAGCTATGAAAATGGGCACAGTGAGCTCTTTCAGAGACATTCCCCTGAAGTCTCTGGATAAAACACCAGTGTTTCAGCTCTTCTAGCACTCCCCTTGCTCCCCTTTTACTTAAGATTATTATTTTCTCTTCCACTATGTTAAATATGAAAAGTCAAAATGAGATCTGAAGCTTAAAAGTACCTAGTAAAAATCTGGCCGTTGGCTTGTGAAATGCATGACCACTGGCCTAGATAATATTTGTAGATATTATAGGCAACTGAATACAATTTCCTTCTATACTAGTTAACACACATTTTAGTATGAAAGCAAGTGTTAGACTGGATCATCTGTTCCTGTAATGGAGATGATATGTAGGCAAGGTAGGTGCTATAAACAAGGCATGAGGCTGTTACTTCATTTGTTGACTTTTTAAAAAATATCATGTGCTGTCTGAATCAATCTTCAACCAATGATTTCAAATAACTATATTTGAATGTAAGAATGAATCTAGTCAGCAACAATCTTAAAAAAAAAAAATCAGGATTTATCAATGGCTTTCACTAGCAGAATTTACAAAAGATAATTTTTCATTATCTTATTAATACTATGACAATGCATTATTTGAGCTTGCAGCTTGTATTCTTCGCAAGTACTAAGTTAACATTTATTATGTTAATTTTTAATATATTCCAGCTTCACTAACAGAACTGTTATGAGACAGGAAGCATCAATCCTATCAGATGACTGCACATTATGTCCAAGATTCTGGGAAGAGCATGTTCCACTTGACTGTTATGCTAATTTTGAGACTCTGAAACCAAGATTCTTTTACATACTCCCATGAACGTAACAAAGGCACACTTTATAATTCTTCCCACTGCCCCCAGCAGGTATCACTGAGGTACTGGCTTATGATCTAAAGTGAAAGTGCCTGTTCCAGTATAAATGAAAAGATTACATCAAAATAGGTATGGTCTGAGGCATATTGTGTACACGGTTCTCCTCTAGTAGTGTTACACACATCCCATGTATGAGATGATTAGTACTAGGATGATGTCTACAAGAGACAGGAAGAACTGCCCTTTAAAGATGCCTCTCACTCCAGCAGCTATACAGCCACAATTTGAGATAGTTCAATTTGAGAGGTCTGGATCCCATATAGGATATATCCTATATCATTAAAAAATCAGATCGCCCCTCCTCCTCCAAAAAAACCCCTGCATGATTTAAGTACTATTTTGCAAGACTGCATGGAAGAGTTTTTATGAGCTGCTGGAGAAGTTCAGTGGATTCTAATACAAGTACACCCTGGCTCCTAAAGGCTAGTGCTATCACAAATATTGGCTAAAGGAAACTGTAGTAAGATTAGCAGTTAATCTGTACTATGAAACAGTAACCCCAGCTTCCTAAAGAAGAGAAAGATGAATCAAAACCATCTGCCAAGATAATTTACTAGCAAAAGTCTAAAAGTCCATTCAATTCAGAGCCACTGGTATAATCTTCCACAAAGTTTATCAGGTCAGTTTTGGAATTGTTTTATGGCACTGCAGACACAACCTGACGCCTATTTGTCCATAACAGAGGCTACAGACAGTCCTTCTGTCATTTTGTGGTTTGTAAATCTCTTGAATAAAGGTAGAAAAGGCCTACACATTAGCTGATGACTTAGTTTTATCATACTTTCATATGATTAAGACTCCTGAATGATCATTAACTCATTTTCAGTCAGAAGCCCTGATGCTCTCTAGGATCAGCAACAATAACTAGACTGAAACGCTGCCTGAACTACATCTATTGCTTAGCTCTTTTTCTTTGGAGAATTAAAAAGCCATCCCACCAAAAAGACACAGTTATCAATTAGTCTCAAAGTTAATATGCATTGCCTCCAAGGCGAGAGTCCTGAATTGTAGGAGATTCCCAAGAAGATCCAGATAACACATCAGCTATATCCAGTATCACCCCAAGAAAATGATCAGCCAGTTCCCGAGCCGTGCTCCCTCCTAGTCAACTCCCCCTTATATACTGAGCATGATGTCATATGGTATGGAATATCCCTTTGGTCAGTTTGGGTCAGCTGTCCTGTGTCCCCCTCCCAGCTTCCTGAGCATCCCCCCACCTTCTCATTGTCAGGCCAGTATAAGAAGCTGAAATGTCCTTGACTACTAGGCAACAACTAAAATATTCCTGTGATATCAACATTATTCTCATCCTAAATCCAAAACACAGCACTATATTGGCTGCTGGGAAGAAAATTAACTCTATCCCTGCCAAAACCACAACAGAAGGATAATGTTAAATTGTTTTTTCTAAGTTTCTGTGTTTGCTTAGAGAATAATGATGTACATCTTCCCAAGTTAAAGCAGATCTCAAAAAGGCCAATTAGCATGCAACACTGAAACCTTGTGTCATGGACAAATTTCTTAATTTTCAAGTTTTTATTCTGATACAAGCAGATGATTACTTGTTTAACTTTAATCCTTAAGTTTAAAGATGTAAAACAATTCTAGTTTTGAAGCAAGCAATCTGCAAAGAATTAAATGTTAGCAAGTACAAGTCATTATCCATAATGTAAAGAGAAGCAAAACCTGAAAAAACTACATTGTTGTTAAAGCATGTAAACAAAGAGTAATGGCTGGGCGTAAAGTGCCAATGGCATAAAGCACAAGTCTAACTGCACAAATATAGCTGATTGAAAAACTCAGATACATATGCACAAATACACCAAAAATTGAGTTTATATGATCAATAATATCTTTGCATATGTTCTGATTGTTATTTTCAGAGACAAATATATTATTGAAATATGGTTTCAAACAATGATGCAATGCTCAAAGAGCAGGCAAAATAACTACAAATAAAGATAAGTTGAAGGTTTAATACAGAACCCAGTTACTGTAACAGATTGTGCCTGGCCTGCCACTTTGCAGTGCCCAAGGAATACTGCCTTTGTGGGTCACCTTTAGCCATTAATTTATAAATTCAGCTCATTCTTGTGTTTTCTAATATATCATTCTCTTTATATATACATACTTAAAAGTGTTGGCTAATGAAAGACATCAATGAAAACACATGAAAAAATGTATTTCTTGCATACCAAAAGCCAAGAAAAAGTATTATGGAATCCAATAAAGATTAATGAAAAACATCACACACTTCACTTCCTGAAAAGTGCAAACCTCTAGAGTTAACACAGATGCCTAGACAATAAAATGCACACTTTAAAAAAAAAAAAAAATCCTAAATATTCCAACTGCTTTAACTTTTAATTTTGACCTCAACAAGACTGGTCCCATCCTTTTTAGTGGTTACAATACCCATCCATCCTTTTACCTAGAGACTTACTTATTCACAACTTGCTACCAAGTACTATTTAAATGAGTAACAATCATATACTTTTAAAAACAGTTGTACATACCTATTGTATCAGCTTTACTAAATCTTCGTGTGACAACATTGTTCATATTTCCATTTTCACAAAGCTTTAATTCTGTTAGATATACTTCTACTTTGCAGTGCTTTACAAACATACCCTGTTCAACGACCTGAAAAATAGATTGGGATCAAGTATCAGTCCAAATATGTTTTCATATACACACTTCAGAACATTTCTGAGAACTCTTCAAGAAACTGAAGTTCAGGGAATTTAAGACACTTAATAAATGCCAAAAAATTAGAACTAAAATTTTCCTATAACTTTTTAGAAATACAGTAAACTAAGAAGTAATTTTTCTTCCATGATGATGATGTCTTACCTGTGTATAACACCACCACCATGACTTTCAAAGTGTTAAGTACAGTGGAAATCACAAATATGCACACTTAACCAAAAGATATTTGATCAAAAGATAAAAATCACCAAAACTTATTTTTATTTCAAAATACATTTGTTGTATGCTACTTCCTCAAAACATGAAGAACTAGTTTTCACAATTAAAGAATACTTACTGAAACCAGAATATGCAGTAATAAAATCTGGATAACACATTTTCAAATAAAATCTACAAATCTTCCACTTATAATCCAATAATGAATACATCCATTTGAAATTTCACCTACCCATTACAGTTTATTATATGTTCACTTTTGTAACACCTATTACAAAATAGTTAAGTATACAGGATTTTTTTAAAATAAAAGTAAAATGTAGAAAAAAATATCCAGGGTCACCTCTTAAATGTTTTTCCCTTTGATCTTCCAAAGTGTAACTGCAGTACTTAGTCATGTAGACTGTTCCAAAAATAACCATTGGCCTGATATGTGATACATCTGACAAATACGGTAAAAAAAAAAAAAAAAGCCACCAGCTAATTGCTAGGAGAGATCTGCTATCTGCTGTACAAATATAACTTGTATGCAGTGCCACAGAAAAAAATAAATTAGTGAATGATTTCATTGCTGTTCAGTAGTTTGCCTCAGCTTTAATGTCTGCCAACCATAACATTTAAATAAAAACACATCTTAATTTGAGTGGTTTAGTAGGTTTTTTTCAGCTACTAGAGTAACAATAGTTGCAGTAAACAAAACTGTACAGTATGGCTAAGACATTTGTGAGAAATAAATTGACGCTGTAGTGGTAGTAGTACCACATCCTATTGCATAAAGTCATATTGTTATTTGACATGGATCAAGTACAACATTGTATCAATTTAAAATTTGGATCCACATTTCAAAAAAGTTGATATAACACAGAGGATGAAAGAAAAGTATCATCCCACCTCTATGAAAATACATTAAGGCAGACAGAAGAAAGAATCATGAACAAATGACAAAAGCATCAGAAAGAAAAGTTCTGAACTGGAATACGCATCTCAGAGGATAGCTACTGTTCATATTGGCAGAAAATAATGAAGCTATGCCAGTTTATCTGGCCACTCATAACACTCCATGTATTTTTCCAGTTAGTTCCTTCCAAGTAGAAGGCAAGTTACTCCAATTTCACTTCTCTCTCCTTCCATTTTCCCCCCAAAAGTGAAAAATTACAGAACTTTTACTTTACCATGATGATGGAAGAGCATTCAGTTTGCTGAAATCCACCTTCAGGAAAAACAGTAACAAGTTGATAACAGATATATCTTTAAAGAAGGAGAGCCATTTTAATGGATTTCAGCTCTTACAGAACTAGAGAAAGAGACATTCCAGGGATGTCTCTTTAAAAAAAGATCTCTTTTATTGTATTAAAGAGAATGTTAAAAAAACTCCAACAAACTACTTCTATTGCTGACCAAATGAATCTTGAAGATACAAAATTTCGTCTATAGCTAAATCCAGCATTTGTTTGAAGGGAGTGCACTTCAAGTAAGCGACCAGCATGCAGGTAGTTAGACCATACTCATATCATAGGAGGAAAAAAAAAAGTTATATTGCATCAGAAGTTATATCAAACTAAATTGTAATCATAATATTCTTTCAGTGGTTTTTCAGGAATTAAAATAAAGATCCCTGTAACTGAAAGAATATGCCATAATGGTCAACTTAGAAATGGCAAACACACCAAAATGTACTTAAGTAATTCAGTCCACTGAGGATGCAACTGTGATCACTAATCTGAAAATCTTAAGAAATAACACAAACAGAAAAGATTGTATGATCAATAAACTGGTAAAATGTAATATCACCTTAATAATAAGGATGGTATGTGCTGGAGCAAACAAAAATTAACTTAAAAATTAACATTTTTTGTGCATCTCATACTGACGGAGGGCCACAGTATTCACCATACCATGGACTACTACTTGTGTTGAGGTAAGCTTTTTGTTTGAAGAAAAAACCCCTTAGCAAGCTGCTGAACACAGAGGACTGTGCTTATCAGAAAAGGAACTACCAATTACTCTGCCAACGTTAACATTATTAGAGCTAGGCTTTTCACTAATATAGTCAATACAGGTTTAGGGTTTTATACTTAATTACAAAATCATTTGCATTAATACACTTAAAAGCTTCTAAAGCAAGTTTTTACTGAAATATTAGTTTTACTTCCCCCCTGCCAACCCCCCCCCCCCCAATATTATATTCTTTGCATCCTCGGTTCTCAATATTAGAAACTTAAGCCTCTAAAATCTGAATAAAAATTAGATATCTATAAGCAACTAAAGCAGGAGTTGTCTATATGACTATCACAGGCCAGGACTTACAATCTTCTAATAAATTCCTGTGCAACTCCTGCATATTTGCAGGACTATATCTGAATCATATTTATCCCAGTAGCTAATTTAAGAATACCTTGCGTGCTATTGGCTCTTGACCTTCCATCAGTGTGTACCAGCTAACTAGCCTATTCCAGCCTTCAGTTGGCAAAAGGATGTAGTCCAGCTCATCAATGAGATGTTCCTTGAGAGACTGAGAATCACCATCTAAAAAAGAGAAAGATATTTTACTTGAATACTGTAATTCTGTTACTTAAGGTTTTAATGTAACATTTTTCAGAAGATATTTTGCTTGCTATTTATATGAGTCACAGTTATGTCATCAGTATTATGGTGTTCAAATCAAAACTCTTTTAAAACTATTTAGGCAAGCTATCCAGTTCATGAATAACACACCTATTACAGGTAGTATTCTTACACTCAGGAACCCAAGTGGTAACTCCATATCCTCTTGCAATCGTAAGTGCCTAACTTGTTATCACACACCATCATAGCCTTCAGAGAAATCACTCCATTTCTCCACCCACTTTGTACATACTCCCGCACCCCCATGGATACTTCCATTTCATGCTACAGTTGCATCCTCCACTGAAAATGCAGGAATGGGTAGTTACAGTAGATCCAAGACAAAGCTGGAAGTCATTCACTCCGTGTCAGATTGGGAAAACAACATGGCACAACCCTCCTACTTAAATGATCCTATGTGCTCTGGAAATACGGTCCCTACAAAATTCTTCACAGGGACAGCAAGATGCAGCACTTGTACGCAAGCACAAATACAACTTGGCAACCTCTCTACATAAGCAGCGTGCTTTTAGCTTTGGTTCAAACCTTATTACAATAGTAAGATAGCAGCTATCCTATATGTATAAGAGGTGATTCCAAATCTGAGCCACTGTGAGCCTCAGACTATTAGGGCAGCTGTCTTTCCAGCTGGAAGTACCCAACTACAGACCAGCAAGCATCCTTCTGTACAGAGAGAGATCAAACATGGAAGCCCACACATTCAGCTCCAAAGAATGAATCAAGGTGACAAACTTAATGAAGTATGAAAATAAATAGACCATGTATGAAGAATAAATAGACTGTAATAAAAATAGTCTATTTATTTTCATTGTCCTATGTGAATGAACTGCAGAATCACATGCCGTGCAATTAAAACTGAGCGTAAAAGTAACCTTAAATAATCTCAAACTGCTTCAAGTATTGGCCTTCCTCTAGGATTTTTTTTTTTTAAGTAATACTTCTAAGCAAAACTTTCTGCAAGGACAAAAATAAGTGCATGCTATGCGCATATGAAAAACGCTAAGGTCCTCTCATTTGATCACATTTCTGTACTTCTCTTGTTTCTCCTTCGCACAGATTTGCAAACACAGCATAATGTGACTTCAATTAAAAAAAACCAACAAGAAATTATCCTGACAATTAAAACAGGCACACTTAAAAATTAAAACTCCTTTAATAATAAAAACTATTTTTTTTTTTTTGGTATAAGAATTTAACAAAACATATTTCAACATGACCTCTTCTGTAGGAGGGCAACACTACTGAGGACATTTAAGAAATGTTTAAGAGACGTGTTCACTTCCTGGTGGGAAGAGTAAACAAAATTCAGCTTACCAAGACTAGAAATCTCCCTATTTTACCTGCAATTGCTACACCTTCAGTTGGTTTAAAGGGTTTGTGATTTTTAAGGGAAAATACTGGGGAAAAGGCAATGCTTTTTTCTTTAATCACTCAAATAGTGAAAATATGGACAAAGAAGGATACACAGCTTTCTTCTGCTCCGATTATCACTGGTGCTGACTCCTTTCCTTCTTCAGCTAAGTACCTTGATGTCTGAGCAAAACATGGGAGATGCATATTGTTCTCAGTTTATGTATTTTAAATTTTCAATATCTGTTACTACCATTAGCTGCTCAGAGAGCTACCACTTCCATAACACGTAATCTGTGCAGTTTAGAGATGACTTCAAGCCATCAAGAAGGTATAATACGGTTTGCATGCGTTTCTCTGACAAAAATTGTCAATGTGGGAAGAGCTAAACAAAAAAAATCCCTAACAACAACAAAACCCCCAAGATACGGCCAGGTAAGTGTTAGAATTACGAAGTTATTTTAGAAAAGGGGGTAATCAAGTTCAGAAATAGCTGAAGTATTTGTTGCAATTTTAGCAAGAAAAAACACAAGGGCAACAGAAGGCCTCAAAATGGAAGAGAACCTCAGACTTTGGATTATGCTTTGGGAACCACAGTATATAAATTTCTCAAATGAAAACTAAAATGGAATTTCACATGAACACCTCAATGAACATACAGGTAAATAAAAATTCAGTTCTTCATGGAGATAAATATAATGTGCCCTAATAAACGAGACTTCAATCAATTCACCTGTTTAAAAGGTACTTTCCTTTTTTCCCCCTCAGTCTGTTTCATTCTATCTGTAAAAGTAACAATTTTCAAGACTCAAATTTTGGTTCAAAACTGTCTTGATTGATTAGGAAAAAATCTACATGCAAGAACTATACCCAAAACACACTTGTTGAAACAATTCACGACTTGCACTATCAATTCTTACGTGACCCACTCACTACTATGCATATGGTGGTTCCATTACAACAGGGAGCAAGGTGTGGGAAAAAATCCATAAACACATCTTCAGGTCCACGTATCTCTTTAAAAAGCTCATACTGTACTTCTGCACTGATCTGATATTGCTACAGGAGTGTATAGTGAGCAGATATAATTTAGATTCCATTCTTTCTAAAACCCCCAATAATTTTTCTAGTATAATATTTTTAGAACCTTATTGCATCAAAGAAGTCCCCTGACTCTGACGACTCGGTTCCTCATATGCAACACTGTTTTCTATGATAAACAATCAGCTATTCTAAATGACTACTTCCTTGTGCTTGCTTTTTGCTAATCTAAAGTTGACCATGTATCTCTTGTTCTGAAGACTGCATATGTGCATTCCACTACATACAACAACATTTTTGCATATGTTGACATTAACTGAAATCTCTGCCTGTTACTTTTCACTGCTCTCATTTCATTGAAATATTCTGGAAATAAAGGACCAACATTTAAGTAACAGAAGTACAACGTATTGCTTCAGTTTCCTGGAATCAGTCTTTCTCAAATTTAGTAATAGCTGTCCTTAACATTGCATTACACTGCAAATATCTGAGAAAGCATGCCCATTTTAGACTATTTTGTGTTTTTTAAATCAGGAGCAAATTTTCAGACTTAACACTTAAGAGCAGCAGTATGGGAGCAACTAGTGCATACTACGTGCCAAAGACAGGACTAAACCCCAAGCATTTTCAGGTTTAATTTATGCTACATAGGAAGCCTCAAACAGAGGATTGCCGCTTTGCAGCAGGTGAAGACAGCTACTGTTTGCTGAGCACTAATGCCCTTAATTTTAAAACGGCCTTCACACAGGAATAGTAGATGTCAGACAGTAATTGGATGCATGGTATCACTGCTAATACAGAGACATAGTTTTAGAACCATGAATGAGCAAAAAGTGAAGTTTATAAACCCCAATGCTGTGTTTATTTTGAAAGGGGTTTTGACAGTGTCAAAACAGTAGTAAGAATATAGGTTTTTCAGGAGGTTTTAGCAAAATGGCTAACAGCTAACCCCAAAACAGCTTCACATCCACAGTAACTTCAAATGTATGTGAACATGTATGCAGATTAAGTTATAAATAATACAGATCAACTAACAGAGTGCTTTGCACATCTAGAAATCACCGTTTTTTTCAAAATGGGTAGACACAGAAGAGAGAATGAGCTGATGCTGCCTCACCGAGGACTAAAAGATCTTGTTACATCCGATTTGAACTGAAAAGTATCACCTGAACATGCCTGCCTCACTGCAAGATTTACTATGAGAATGTACAAAAGATCTGGATCCTCACACTTCAGAGGACAAAACACTTCACTCACCTGGAGCAAAAAGACCTTTAAGTTTGTGGATGCAAGAGAACATATAGATGCATATGATAATACAGCACCTTCTTCAAAGGCACTGATTCTAGACAGTGTCAGACATGCACACTCATTCACACTGACAACTAGCGCAACAAGTCCTATGAAAGAGGCAATCATATCATCTTTAACATTTAACTTGTAAAATAAGGAAATATTCATTACAGTTGAGAAGTTCTGAATTAATAAAGTCAGAGTTCAACATAAACCCCATGAAGTTGTAAAAAATTTGTATTACTATGTGCAAACAAATTATGCAATACTATTACATTACCTGTAATTACATTACCTGTAATTCGTATCCACTAGATTTTGCAGATTAAATGGTAATGGCTCTAATGGTATATCTATGCTGGACATTAAATATAGAATTTGACCTAAAGACTAAAATATCTGAGAAAGTATTCTCAGATCTGTGGCCACAAATCTGACTACTGTTCAGCCAAAGTCCGTCAGACCTGAGTAATTTTAACAGTGACAGAATTTGACCACACTTAGAAAACCATATAGAATTAGGAAATTATCCTCTATCTTTCACAGGACTTTGTATTATCACTAAACTGCATAATACCTTTTCTTCAATTGTTCCAGTGTCAAAATAAGGGCTTGGGGCTCATTTACAAAAAGATATTTTAGAGTTCAACTTAAAAAAAGTTATTTTAAATCAACCAATTTAGTTAAGCTAAAAAAGAAAATGAACTTAGCGACCTCAGGCTAGCTATTCGTCAACTTGACTAAATTTCGACTCCCAAGGTATCCCAAAAGATCATTATAAACCAGTAATTTGTACATTATTCAATACTCTGTTACCATTGCAAAGAAGTTCCAGTAATTTTATTTATAAAAATTGTAATTTGTTAAGGAAATCTATTCTAGCTCCCCTGTCACGGTCTGAAAACAAACAAACAAAAAGTTTCACCTTCACACATGCTGAGATTCATTTATACTGTCAACTACAAAAGATGAACAATCTGTGACAAATTTGCACTAAATATTAGTGTTGTCTTATTACACAACCAGAAGCAGTTACCTTTGAGAAGTCCAGAATTATCAATAGGACCAGGGTACACATTCTGATCTCCCATCTGGTATTTGTCCCAGCTGTCAAAACCAACATATTTTTTCCACTGTTTGAACCAGCGACTATCCACTAGATACCTTAAATGTAAGAAGACATACAAGTTAATTAATGCAATGCTACTACTTCCTACAGTACCAATTAATTCATGTTAACACACTCATATCATCAGCCTTGCAAAGCAGAGAATGTTTTTTTGTCTGGTCTGCTAACCATTATCAGCATCTCGTACCAAGAAGGACTTTATTGTGGGCAATTAAAGATCCCACTAATCACAGTTTTAAAAAAAAACACATTTCCCTCTTTAGCATGAAATATCATCAGCTTTAATTCTTGTTCTTAATTTGTGAATTCAGGAGATTCAAGTTAAATCTTTATAATTAGGCAGTCCTTTAAAAATTGAGAGATAACTTATATTAAAATATTTTTTTTTTTCCTGCTGGAGTTTTATTTATAACATTCATATGCAAGTTGAACAACTTTAGAACTCTGATGTCCCGTCAAGAACCAGAAAGTCTAAGTGTTTTCTTCCTTTGAGTCAGCGTCAACACATACAGTAAGTGTTCTGCTTTTGAGGCAGTACTAGATGTTCCTCCTACACATAGTTATCAACTTCACACTTCCATGTGAAGGGATATCTCTAAACTCAGCTCCACAGTATTTCTACCCAGATTAAACTGTTGCCAGTCTGGCTTTTACGAAGTCCAGTGATACCTATATTTTATATCTCTTTGTCCAGAATTTCTTTAAGATTAAAATATCAAATTTGTTCAGTGATCCTCAGATTTTTTTTTTAAAAGACATCACCTTCATTATGTCTCTTTCATAAAAGTATCCATCTCCTTCTGTCTGGTCTATACTAACCTTTGTGCTACTACCCTAGTACCTGTCAGAACACAGAATCATTGAACGGTTTGGGTGGGAAAGGACCTCAAAGATCATCTAGTTCCAGCCGCCTCTGCCATGGGCAGGGACACCCTCCACTAGACCAGGTTGCCCAAAGCCCCATCCAATCTGGCCTTAAACACTTCCAGGGAGGGGGCATCCACAACCTCTCTGGGCAACCTGTTCCAGTTCCTCACCACCCTCAACTATCAGACATTGCTATCAGGATGAACCACCAGGTCAAACTAAAGATCATAGGTAATCCTCATCCTTTTCTCCAGTATTTGACTATCGAACTCTTATTTGTAGCATACCAATAATATGCTATTGAATCTTTAAGAGATCTCAAAACTTCCTGGTGATTCAAACACTAGCCTACTAATACATATAGCTTTATTAGGCAATCATTCGGTAGGAGTTACTCATAAACACCATGGAAAAACACAGAACAAAAACATTAACATCCACCACTCTCCTAACCATAGTACAAAAACATTGCTTGAGTATACACTTTACTGAATAGGTTTAAAAAACCACCTTAGTAGGGCCTTAATTCGTGCTTCTAAATGATGTAACTACAACAGGAATTAACAAACCTAAGACAGGCAGTCTTGACTTACTACTTCTTCTCAAGTCCAGTTTTTCTCTCTAATACACATAGATCAAGGCTGGACTCAGCCTCCAGAAATACTGCTAGTAAACCTCTGGTGAAGAAGGAATTACTAATGAGTAGTACTCAGTAAGTGAGATCCTTTGTGGGAAATTTATCAGATTCTCTTCTCAATAAGCCTCAATTTTTCAGTTTCTACAGAATGTACTCTTAAGTGTGTGAATCTATAGGTAAAAGACCTTTGGAAAGTAAGAGGAAGAAGGCATTAGAAAGCTGTACATAAGACCACCACAGGATTTTACATGCTTACTTCCCTGACATTCTTTCAAAAGCATCAAAGACTGAGGTATCAAAGGCAACTTTACAACATCTATGACGACAGCATCCTAATTCACATGGTAAACAATCTTGATTCAAAATATGATTACATCAACAGTAATAATGAGTCTGTGAACAAATTACTCCTAGCCTTTGCTTGTAACTACCCTGAGCAAACATAAACAGCAAAGGCAGAGCTGTATCTCAACTGCTATAGACACAGTTCTGCCAGTGTAAGAACTGTGGTTAGGGACCAAGTTTCTCCCTTACTGCAACAATGCCAGCTCTACTCCACCATGTACCTTGACCATCTCACAGTATAACACTTGGTCTCATATCTATGCTACTATCGTAACCTGTTACTACTGCTGAAGTGTCATCAATTACAATGAGATGTCATCTCTTCTGAAATCATCCTTGAACTTGCAACACACAATGTCTTTCTGAAATTTCAAACGCTTAATAAAGCGGTCAGAAAACAGCCTCAAACTGCTTTTTGAACCAAAATCACATATTTAAAAAAAATTAGTTTTAAACACTATTAACGAAATGCGTATGAAAAGTATTTTGCTGCGACAATGTCCTTTTCTACTCTTACCAAACTCAGAAACAAACAGTGACTTAACAGAAATTATTAAATTGGTAACTAAACAGTGCTGGGTCAGGCTACTTTAGAATGATTCAATAATGTAAAAGTTTTGTGGCAGAATTCCCTTGACAAGTTTCGTTTAGAACATGTTTAAAATGTAATAGGAAACAAGATTGGACAAGGCTAAGCTGCATTAAAGATGGTGAAATTTGGCCTAACACAATAAAAAGATAAAAATGCAAGCTATTACATGCATAAACAGATTTAAACGTTATTCATGCTGAAAATAAGGTAAAACTTATCTAGTTCAAATCTGAGTAAGTTCCAGTCCCACACACATTTCACACTTCAAAAATCAAACTCATTCAGTTAGTATGCACTGATTTCTTGACCACTTTCCATCGTCTATTCTGTTCAGTGAAGTTGTAAGAACTATCTAACAAAGCAATGAGCTTCTCAAAATAATTCAGACCTTTGTGTACAGAAAACCTCATTTTGCAGCACAAGAAAGTATCCAAGTAAAGTTTTACTGTCTTATGTAGAAGCCTTTTCTGAACTTAACTTTTCAGGTTCTCCTCACACAGTAGCAGATTCGGCCATCACTGCAGCAAAACCTATGAAACCACAAACCTCAAATTGTTGCAAAATAAAATGAGAAACAACTTCAACCATCAAAAATTATCAGCTTGCCACATTCGTTTATTACCCAGAAATGGGAGGGGGCAAGAGAACACAGCAGACAGAAGCCTACAATAGGCAATTTAGCCTATTTAATTTAAAGATCTCATGAGTAAGAATTTAAGAATTCAGTGAGCACCACAAAGATAGTCTGCTCGAAAATTAAGAAAGAAAAATCAGATCTCTATAAATGAATTTTCACCAAACAATAATTAACTGTTGCAATTAAATGAGTGTTATTTTCTGTTTCCTGGAAGAAAAAACAGATACTAGACTCTACCATGGAAGTTTGAATTGGTACGACCACATTAAATGGAATGACTTTATTCCACACAGTGCATATATATCTGGATATAGTCTGATATTAAAGATAATTTTTCCTTTACCCTGAGTCTGCCAGAACAAGCCTGATGTTACTATAATTGAATCATTGGCATTTATGTCTTTTTCTTTTTAAAGTACAAGTAGCAGCAGTTCTCACATTTGCAAAAATCCAGTTCTTTCACTCTGGCTGTACAAATCCCAATTCCTTTTACAACAGACTCTTAATATTTGACTCATTTTTCTTTAATAAATGGAAAAAGGAATATCGACTTTGATTAATCTGACATGCCCTTGCCTTTTGCTTTATACACAAAGTTTTCAGTCTTATGAACACACTCAAGGCCAACAGCATTCTCACCTTTCTCTTCTGCTGTGGCCATCCAGCACTACACCCTAACAGCCGTAACGGTGCATGGTTATGAATGTAGTCACCCTCAGGTGTCCATTCTACCACCAAACCTGACAGCCTTGCCCCCCACTCCATCCCATGGCCTCTACTTTCTTGATCTAAATTTGAATGAACTATGAATCTTAAAGAAGGAAAATTGTAATTTTACACAGAAGGGAAAATATCATATAAGCAAAGTGCCCATTGTTTTAATTAATGTTTAACAAATTACTGCTCCTGTAGAACCATAATACTTTTCAAATGCTTTGTGCTGAATGTCTGATCATACACCAGTAACACAGTGATTAAGAGAAAATTTTGATAATTGGACTTAACAGTGCAAGAAAACTTGGGGTCTACTGTTCTAGATTTTAAATGTGCACCATTACCTATTTCAACACTTCATCAATTTTATTCTTCCATGTCCAATTAATTTTGCCACCAACCAAATTTTGGTCTGCAATGTCTCTTCACAGTTCTCCCTAACTGAAAAGTTGTAACATTTCTGTTTCCCAATACAAAGTGCAAAAAATTACATTACTTCTCTTAATTTAGGAATTTGTACTTAAATGTTCAAGTAATAGATTAATAGTTCTAGCATAAAAAAGATGAAAGGTCACCTATAAATCATGCAAGTATGTAAGTGTGATAAGAACTAAACAGCACAGTCAAGTTCCTTCCCTGGAAAGAAAATGCTGAAGGAAAAGCAAACCTTAAAAAAAATTCACATGGGACTCTCTGAGCAAAGTCTGTCCAGCGGTACAATGGAGAAAAGCAGAACGAAGAATGCATGAACACCAAAAATTTGAAGGCTACACAAATTACTTTGTCTTTATTATCTTCTCCTTTCCTGTTTTCTCACTGAAATTCGCTAAGTAGTACTTTGTTAGACTGGTGTATTTCAGATATATCTGGACAAAGCTGTAAGGAACAATTAAAAAAGAAGCTAAATGGGTAAGAAAGCTGGATCTGTTTAGCTGGGAGAAGACTAAGAGGGGATCTCATCAACACTTATAAATATCTAAAGGGTTGGTGTCAAGAGGATGAGGCCAGACTCTTTTCAGTGGTGCCCAGTGACAGGACAAGGGGCAATGGGCACAAACTGGAACACAGGAAGTTCTACCTGAAGATGAGAAAAAACTTCTTCACTTTGAGGGTGACCGAGCACTGGAACAGGCTGCCCAGAGAGGTTGTGGAGTCTTCTCCTCTGGAGATACTCAAAACCTGCCTGGACACAATCCTGTGCAACGTGCTCTAGGTGATCCTGCTTTAGCAGGGTGGTTGGACC